AGAGGGGGAGGAGGAAAAGGGAAAAGAAGGAAGGGCAGAAGGAAAAAAAGGAAGAAAGAAAAGGGAAGAGGAAGAGAGGAAAAAGGGGCGAGGAGGAGGAGGAAGAGGGGAGGGGAGGGGGAGGATAGGAAAAGAAGAAGAGGGGGGGGAGCAGGAGGGAGGAAAAGAAAGAGGGAGGAAGAGGGAAGAGGAAAAGAGAGAAAAAGGAAGGAAGGAAGGAAGGAAGGAAGGAAGGAAGGAAGGAAGGAAGGAAGGAAGATCACACCCTTCTTCCTTTTCAATCCCACACAAGCATTTACTTGGGAGTAAATCCCTCTTACACCTGGAAGTCTTACTGAGAGCTTGTGCAAGGAGAATAAATAAACATTTTCTGGAGTATAGGCAGTCCTCGACTAACAACAGTTCATTCAGGGACCATTCGAAATTACGACAACACAAAGTGACTTATGACCATGTTTCGCGCTTAGGCATCCCCATGGTCACGTAATTTAGATTCAGATGCTTGGAAACTGACTCACCATCTTCTGACAATGGGGAAGCCAGACTCACTTAACAACTATGTTACTAATCTAACAACTGCAGTGATTCAGTTAACAACTGTGGCAAGAAAAGTCATAAAACAGGGCAAAACTCAGTCAACCTACGTCTCACTTAGCAACATAGATCTTGGCCTCAATTGCGGTCATAAGATGAGGAGTACCTGTATGAAAAATGGACATAAGTTGCTTTTTTTGAGTGCTGTTATAACTTCGGTCACTAAACAAACGGTCATAAGTCGAGGACAACCAGTAAGAAGGAAAATGCTTGGTTCATAGAACAGCCTTTAGCCTGTGATTAAACAGGAACAAGTAGGAACAGATCCCCGGTAGGAAAATTATATTCACCGTAATTTTCAGAAGGGCACTGAGTATTTTACAATGTCTTTCATTCTTGACAAAGAAGGCCTCAGCTGGAAAAAAATTAAATAGGAGAAAGAAAGAGAGGAAGAGAGAGAGATGGAGAGGGAGAGAGAGAGGAAGAGACAGAAGAAGAGAGAAAGGAAGAGAGAGAGAAGAAGAGACAGAGGAAGAGAGAGGAAGAGAGAGAAAGAAACAGAAGAACAGAGAGAGGAAGAGAGAGACAGAGAGGAAATGAAAGG